TGTCTCTGTGCCTCCCTCTCTCGTGAAAAACAAATAACTAAGCTTTAAACACACACAGCCTGATCACTCCTGTGGAGCGACCTGCTCACCACCAACCAGAGCACAGTGAGTTCCTGGAGGCCGGGGAGCCTCCAGCTCAGAGGGGCGCTGTTTCTGGTCTCTGTCCCAATCCTGGGCGTACCACTCAACTTCCCTGAGCATCGACATCCCCATCTGTCAAGTGGGTAATGACATGTCTGCTTCCTAGAGGGAGAGAAGCAATGGGGCGGGGCGTCCATCTCCACGCCGAGTACGCGGTCAGTGGGATCGTTATTACCACCATTGTCATTTGCTGCCAGCGTTATTATCTGCTGCTAACATATGTCCTGTTGAGGACCGAGAACAGGCCACCACTTGAAAGCTTGCTCATACCCTAGCCGGTCTCACTCCTCAGGACTGTTGAGCAGGGTGGCCCAACCCTACAACTGCCTCGAGGCCTCAGATACAACACACACCCAGCAACATCACTCTGTTTACCCCATGGCAGCCAGGCCGCCTCCACCCGTGACCTAGCAAAACAGAGGAAGAGACAGAGGTCTCGGCGCCAGAGACAACCCAAGACTCTGCTGCATCAGTGCAGCTGCCTGCAGAGGTTACCTGGCTGCTGGCCATCCTAGGTCATCCTCATAGCCACCTGCTCAGCAGGTGTGACTCTGCACTACGGAGACTCTGGGGTGGAGGAGGGGTGACTGGCCTGCGTCACACGGCTAGTGAGTGAGAGCTGGATCAAACCCCAGCCTCCTGAGCCCAGCCAGCTCCAGAAAAATAGCAGCAAACACATCAGGAGCAGCTCACACACACTGCCAGCCTAGACGCTGCATCCAGGTTAACTTCCTGACTCCAGGGCCTTGCAAAAGAGCACTCTGACTCTGCCCATCTTACTAAGAAAGCGAGGCTCAGGACAGGAAGCCACTGCTCAGAACACACAGCTCGTAAGAGCAGAGCCCAGATCAGAGCTGGCTCACCTGCGTGGCTCAGAGCCTGGGTTTCCAGGCCTTCTGTGACCCACACCCCAGCCTCACTTTACCGATCACACTCCTGCCTGGGTGCAACCATTCTCCTCAGTGGGGCAGGGGGATTAGGACCAGGTCCCACCTCTGCTCCTCCTCAGCTGTGGACTGAAAGCCCAGAAGGGAGTGAGGTCTCTTTGCGACTAAAGCTCAGAGGCCCTAGGCAGCTACATTATCAGGAGCCTAGGGAATCTGGAATTGGGCATCTCCTGCCTCCTTGGAGGCCAGTGGCAGCCAGGTGAGGCCCAAGGCTATCCGAGATCCCAGCAGGGGCTATGGAGAAAAGCCGTGAGACAAGGTGAAAAGTCTCCCACTCAGACAGACAGAGAGAGACAGAGAGACAGAAAGCGAGAAATCACCCCCCAGAGGGGACAGCCACGCCGCAATCCCTTCTCCTCCATTCTCCTCTCGGAATCTTGGGCACGCACGCACACGCGCCCGGCGTGAGTTTAAGCCACTGGGTCTGGGACTCGAACCACGGGAGTCCATGGGAGTCCAGCGACACCACTATTACGCGAACTGCTGGTCCCCAGACGTGTTTTTTTCTAAGCAGTATTTGCTTAGTGCCCACCTTGGCGAAGTTAAGAAGAAAAGGAACTCCAGATTTGTTTCCCTTTCTGTTGGATAACAAGAAGAAGGAAAAGGTTCTGGATTGATTCTTCTCCCTGCGGACTCCAGAGTGGAAAATCACCGCCTAGGGAAGCACAAGTGACGTGAAGTGAATGGAGACCTGGAAGGGAGGGCACGAGGCTGGGAGCAGCGCAGAGAACACTAGACCAGGAGACCGCCAGCACGTGAGTCACAGCCCGGGGAAAGTACAGGGGCAGGAACGGAGGTCTCACAGGACCCCTCCCAGCCAGTGCTCCGTAGGGAGTGCGTGTCCCGTGAATGGGGTCCGGGACACGACAGTAAAAGCCCGTTGCCCGAGTAGGGCACTTGGATGGTGCTTATTCACCGTGTTGCTGGTGAGACGTCAGCCCCCCGCAACCCCAGCAACCCAGGTGCAGGCCGAGTCTAAGGCCCAGACGCACAGACTCTGCCCTTCGTCCATCACGATGGACCCATCGGGGCTGCATGGAGGAGGGGCAGCACTGGCTACTCCCACTGACAGATGGCAACAGGGCCCCTGGGCAGCCCAAAGCCATGTATTGACAGCTAGAAGGGGCTGAACC